TCGACCCCTCGTTTATTATTACGTGATTTATGTTGTGCTCGGACGTGTTGTACGTGTTCGTTGAATTATTATATGCGTTTGAATCGTTTGTTATGAAAATATATTCGTGATTTTATGTGTTCGTATGTTCGGGATCTCTTCGATTTTCTCAAAAATCGAACGAGACCTCGAAAGTCGTGTAAGTCGGTGGATAATGGAACAATGTCGAGTCCTTGGTCTTATGGAAAGGCCTCGGACGATAAATTTTATGTTGTGATTTAATTGCCAAGTTGTCGAGCTTGTTAATCGCTGTTTCGGTGTTCGAATTTTTAAAAATAGCTCGCTGCTCGAAACGATGTGAAATTTTGAGGGATGTGTTATCTGTTCATTGCCTGCCTTGTGTAAAATTTTCGTAATTTTTGGAGGCCTGTAGCTATTTTTAAATGGCCAGTGCCTGTATTTTAGTAGTCTGGAAGAGGAGTGCAAGCGCCCTCTGGAGGATGGACTCCCTACATCAGAGTACGAGAAGAGGGCGCGAGCTCTGATACTCTGGTGTATTGGGTCCTTCTTCTTCCCCGACCATCGGGCCAACGGAGTCAACCTCTACTGGCTGTCCCTGTTGAATGACATCGATGCCATTCCGGGGTACAGCTGGGGTGGAGCGCTTCTGGCCGGGGTATATAGAGCGCTCTGCGACGCCTACGAGACGCGGGAAAAATATATCAAGAGCTGCGTGCAGTTGATTCAGGTAAATTTATTTACTTGTTAATTGAAAATTAATTTTATTTATTGTAAATTACAATAATATGTGCTAAAAAATGTATATGTCCATATGTGCAGGTTTGGGCATGGGAACACATCCCTCGTGTTCGCCCATTAATGACAAGAACACATTTCGGCTCTCAGGCGGGTTGTCCCTTGGGTGCAAGGTAATAATAACATTTATTTATATTCAACACTTAAGTTATTTCAATTATCAAAATTTGTAATTACAAATAAAACTTTTTCTGTGATTTTAAGGTGGGTGGGATCGAGGGACATGAGACACCTGGTGACGGGCACGGCTGCCATCCGAGATCAGCTGAGTGGCCTGAGAGAGACTGATGTAAGTTTCTTAGGTCATAATAATAAATAATTATTATTTTTTTAATTCTATTTTTTTATTAAATTTATTAATAATTCTATAAATGTTTTTTTTTCACAGTTCGATTGGGTACCCTATCAGACGTACATAGACGAGGGTCGACTCCCGGAAGTGTGCACACGAGACCGACATCTCTGGATGTACAAGGGGTGGATCTTCTGCTGGAACATCGCAGAACCCCACGAGACAGATAGGGTGCTCCGCCAGTTTCGGTGCCACCAGCCCATCCCCCCAACAGCCGCTCATTACTAGTCTGGCCGACTGGGACACCCGCCACAAGGGCCAGGGCATGACTGGAAGGGCATACACCGATTGGCAGGCCTTCCATGCTGATCTTGGGAGGATCTGGACCGAAGAGAGAGATCAGAACGTCCTCCAAGATGTCCCGGTGATCTCTTCTTGGTAGCCGGCAGATGGGTACACTGATTGGTTTCACAGTAGGACTGTGAGACTATTCAATGACCCCAACAACTACGCGGCGATCTCACAGGACGACGGGTTTCAGCCATATGCCGATCGGGAGAAGTGTCAGGTAACTGTCTGCTATTTTGTGATTTTTTTTTATTATTATTATTAATATTATTGAAGTAATTATTATTATTATTATTATTATTTTTAATATTTGATAATTATTTGAATTTAATTTTGCAGTTTTCGGGTACGGAGGTGGCGTATAACATGCTAACGAACATTGAAGACATTGATACGCTACCTCCCCGAGCGCAGTCACAGTTCCAGCAAGCCCAGGAACTTCTGTACGCTTCTCTGACTGTTGGGGGTCAGTCGGTCACACAAGGGGCGTCGTCGGAGCAAATTCTATCTCAAGATGAGTACGCCCCACCCCAGCATACACATTCTCAGCGGGCGAGGCATAGACCGGCGCCCCACATTGGTGAAGGGAGAAGACGCCGTGACCACGAAGAAGGTGAGATTTTTTTATTTAACTACAAATATATATATATTTTTTGTTTCTTTTTATTTATTTGTCCGGTCGAATTATTGATTTTTTACAAAAATTAATTAATTAGGTGGACAAGAAGAAGAAGAACCAACCACGCCTGGACCGACCGCAGGATCGTCTCCTAGTTAGTTTGTTTTTGTATTCTGTGATTTTGTGGACATATTTTTTTTTATTTTTTATTTTTGTATTGGATTTACAGATATTTATTTTTGATGGTTTTGGGTATNAGCCTTAAAAAAATTAAAAAAAAAAAAATAAATACATAAAAACGGATTCTAAGAATCCGTTTTTCTTATAAAAAAAAAATCAAATAACAAAAACGGATTGCGAAAATCCGTTTTCACTACAAACTCGGATTTAATTAAGGTTAATCACTTAATTAAATAAAAACTCACTTAATTAAAGAAAAACGGATTATCAAAATCCGTTTTTCTTTCAGGATTAAGTGAAAATGGATTTTGAAAATCCGTTTTTTAGGGAAAAACGGATTTTCAGAATCCGACTGTTTTACTTTTTTCCACATTTTTTTTATTTTTTTTTATTTTTTTCCACATATTTTTGTTTTTTTTTTATATAAATAAATGATTCACAAGTTACGCCTTCATGAACCAAATATTCCCTTGAATCCTACCCGCACATTGGAAATGCAATGCTAAATCTGACAGCTGAAGGGAGAGACACGTCAACGATCCGCGTATATAGGAAAATGCCGCCGTTGGTACCATCTAAAAAATTCGAAGCTCGAAATCCACGATGTTGGCGCCATTTCGAAAGTAGAGAGCAAAGTTTATTTTCGAATTTGCCTCCAAAATCGTTACCAAATTCTAGAAATTCCAGTGCTTCCCTCTTCTCCGTCATCCAAATTTTTCCCATATAAATATATATATTATCGGCCTCTCCGAACCCTAAACATACAATTTGTCTTCTCCCTTTTCCATTCATATTTGTTTATCGAAGGAAAGAAATTTGTGAAAATGGCAGGCGGTGGATCATCTTCATCAAACGCTTCGAGACTGAGAAAGAGGGTGGAGGCTGACACCTCTTCTTCTACTGCTCTGAAACGTGCTAGAGACGGCAGTGCTTTTGCCAAATGGTACTATTTATTTTTCTTTTGAATGTTTTTATGTGAATCTAGAGAAATTGGGAACTTTAACTTTCTATTATTTTTCCTATCCTTCTAAAAAAGAAAAGAAAAAAGAATTCATAATAGATGGGTTGATTGATGTTGGATTTATGTTTGGTGTCGTCTTACCTTGCTCTTTTACAGTTAACATCCCCACCCCATGTATGGATTTCCTGTTTTTTGGCATTACGTTTTTTCATTTCATTGTGCTTATGCAAAGTGCTATTATCTTGCAGTGAAGAATGCAACAAAGATGTCCCAGTTGCGCTGATAAGCTTTCACAACTGCAGCCTTGATGCCAAAATTAAGATGAATCTGGGTACTCATTCCATTCTGTTTAGAATAATTCCAATTATTCTGTTCTTAGATGTAGTAATGAGCACAATGTGACGGTTTTTGTAATTTTTGGGTAGTATTTGAGTTAAAGTGCTTAATTGAAATTCTTCAGAGGCCCAAGTTGTGGAAATGCCAAGTGAGGTTAAAAAGAAACCGCCATCAGAAAGGTAATTCTCTTTACTTTTGACTCATCTTCATTCTTCACAATAAATGCTATATAATATGTGTGTGAGTGGGTGTGGGCGTGGGGAACTAAGCTGTGCTTGTGCTGACTTGGAATGTGTATTACCAAGCAGGAAAAAGTCTAAGAAGACAGAATCAAGTGCCAAAAATGGGAAAACTGGCAACAATTCCAAAAAACCAAAGCGCCCTCCTACTGCATTCTTTGTATTCATGTAACTCTTTTAAACAATTCTTAAGATAACTAATTTTTAAAGGTGTGATTATTTATTGGAACTGACTATAATCCTAAATGAATATCAGGGAAGATTTTAGAAAATCCTTCAAGGAGTCTAATCCTGATACCAAGGGTGCAGCAAAGGTAAATGGTCAACTCTAGAAAAATGTTGTTTGAGAAGTCATGATTTATTTATTTATTTTTTTCTCTTGGGCCGTATGTCATTTGTTCATTGACCATGATGTTGTTTAGGTTGCCAAGGAAGGTGGTGAGAAATGGAAATCAATGTCTGAGGAGGTGAATAACAAATAATTTTATTTTCTGTAATAACATCACATAGTTGTGCCAGTTGGAATTTAAGTATTCACAGAATTTGTTTTTGGTGTTGATAATCAGGAAAAGAAGGTATATGTTGAAAGGGCTGCTGAGCTTAAAGCTGAATATGAAAAGGCATTGGAGGAGTTCAATGAGGCTGAAGATGAGCAAGTATGTTTCTTGTTGCTCTAATCTGACATGCATTTCTTTTATTCATCATTATGGTATTGCATGAAAACTGAAATTGCCCTTTGTATATGTTTAGGGTGATGATTTGTGTGAGAAAGAAGTTGAGGAGAAAGACGAAGAGAATGATTCATCTGAGAAAGAAGTTAAGGAGGAAAGTGAAGAAGATGATGAGTAGGCCTTTTTTCCTTCTTTAATCTTGTTTTGGTTCCTGGGACCTTTTAAAAATTGTAAATCTAAGGTTTTAGTTGAAGGAATTATGTGGAGTGGGTAGTGTATTTGCTCTTGAACCTTTTTTGAGGAATGTTATCTGAATATGTATTGTTTTGCATGTTATGATTGTTAATGAAGTGAAAATTTTACTTCAGTTGTGAAATTTTGCTGATTATATTTCTTTTGGATTTCTTTGGTGACTAGTCAGTATAAGGGGCTCCTTTTTGAAGGAGCAACATTATTTTCTTTCCCATGAGAAGATGAGATTAGCTTTCAAATGGGACTTTTTTTTTTGGGAAATGATAGAAACCTCTATAATATTAACCTCCACCATATATGTATGCATATTTATAGACCTATAGTATCCAGAACAATGTGGTTAGCATTCGTTTTAATTCTTTGAGTTCACAAGGTATATTTTTATCAGCCAGAAGATAAAAATATCATTTTTATCTTCAACTATCATTTTTTTATGTAACTTAGGCGAATTTATTGACAAAAGATAAATAAGGTGTTCATGATTTCATAAAGCAAGTTCCATCTCACATTGGTGAAATATAACCCTCGTTTGCACTGGTTTCTCTTTGCAGTTGTTAGTTGATGGTTTTACACAAATTATCGAAAAAAAACATAATGAGGTTATATTTTTTTCAGAGCATAATAAAAGTATAGCCCAACGTTCCAAACACATTATTAATTCAAACTGAATTGTCAATCCACAATACAATTTCACCAACTCCTAAACTAAAAATTTTATCAATCCTACCATCAAATCCGAACAAGGCCTAATTGGACCATAGGGACTATAAATACGGTTTCTTCATTTGAATCCGCAGTGGTGGGCTAATGAAATGAACAAAGTGTTGTTCCAAGTCAAGAATTGTAAACAAAATAAAATAACCGAAGACATAAGTAAACAAGCGCATATAAAAATATATGAAGGAAAAGAATTAAAAAAAAAAAAAAAAAAATCTATCTCTGAGATGATAATCGCTGATATGGCAACGAGCATACTTTCTTGCCTTTCTTGTCAGCATTACTCAGTGGGCCTTGCAAAGTGGCAAAGGTTTGCCACACAATCCCTTATTGCCAGAATAAGCAGCTTTTGGAAATACATTAAAAGGCCTAAACTGCGGTATCGACCCGCTCAATCTGTTGTTCCTGAGACTCAAATGCTTCAGTGTTGCGTTGGCAGCCCAACTTGCCGGTATCGGCCCACTAAGCCCGTTGTTTGATAAATCCAGCCATTGCAAGTTATGCAGCTTGCCGAGGCCCATTGGTATCTGGCCCATCACCCTGTTTCTTGAGATGTCTAACCTCTCCAGCCCAGTTACCCTCGAGATCGAGTCGGGTATGGGCCCTGAAATCTTGTTCCCTGCCAAGTTGAGCACTTCTAAGCCCAGCCCACTCCTGAATTCTGGAATAATCCCGGAAATATCATTCCTCGACAAATCTAGGACTTGCACGAACTTTCTGGTCTCGGTTGTCAACAGTCTGGAGAGGGAGCCCGAAAGCCCGTTTGAACTGAGGTCGAGAACAGAAATCTGTGCCGGCAATCTGATCGTGGACACGTCAGCACGGAGCAAGTTGTGTGAAAGATTGGCGCTGTTCAAATACGGCATCCTTTGCAGGAAATTGGAAATCTCAGTACCTGTGAAGCCGTTGCTGGAGAGGTCCACCGTCGTAAGAATGTCGGGGTTGGCGAAGACCGGCAACGGCCCCTGAAGCCCGCAGCTGGCTAATCTCACATCGGTTAGTGTTTTTCTGTCCTTGATCCAATTAGGGACCGATTTCAAAGAAAATTTGTTAAAGGAAAGGTCAAGTGATGAGAGAGAAGGCAGCCCCTTATCGAATTCAACGGGCAAAGGCCCGATTAATGAGTTTCTGGATAGATTAAGATCCCACAAGTTGTTTAGCTGGGACAGAGAAGCCGGAATCCGGCCGGTGAGCTTGTTATTGCTCAATCTCAACACGGCGAGAGTGGTGAGGGCGGAGATTTTGGGCGGGATATTGCCCGTCAGCTGATTGTGGTCGATCGAGAGCTCGGATAAGTGGGGCAGGCGAAAGATAGATTCAGGTATGGGGCCAGACAAACGATTTCCAGTGAGCACGAGATTTGTGAGGCGATTTACTCCGAGAATGGTTATGGGGCCGGATAAGGAATTGAAGCTGAGATCGAGAAATTGGAGGGTGGGAGGAAGTGGAGGGATTTGGCCGATGAAGAGATTCCGGGAGAGGCTCAAGGTGGAAAGATTGGTGAAGAGTGAAAGGGAAGGAATTCGGGCGGTGAATCGGTTTCCGCTGAGGGACAAAGCGTTGAGTTTGGTGGGGAGAGTGGGAGGAAGGGGACCCGAAAGGGCATTATCGTCCAAAACGAGAGTTGTCAAGCGGGAGAGACGGAAAAAGGCCTGAGGGATGGTTCCCGTGATTCTCTTCATCCCGGTTATGAGTAAAGTCTCCAAATAAGATAAGTCTGCGAGTGAAGGGGAGAGAGAGCCTTCCATGTAGGCTGCTGTTGGTGTTGGGTTTTGGAGAGTCAATTGGGTGACTCTTCCGGAGAGAGGGTGGCAGACTACACCTACCCAACCGCCGCTACAAGGGTCGGAAGCGTTTGTCCACGTGCTCAGACTTGCAGTTGTGTCGGTGGAGATGGCGTTCTTGAAAGCCATAAGAGCATCTCTATCCGATTTCCAGCAATTGGATTGGGATTGGGCCAAGGAGATTGTTAATTTGGTGGAGATGATGATGATGAGGAGGATAATACTGACCGGGGATTTTGGGGCTGCCATTTAATGAAAAATATGGTACAAGGAGAAGAAAGTTGTTTTGTTTTCGTGTTTTGATTTTTTTGTCGTATTATTATAACTAACTACAGGAAATGTGGTGCGAGCTGGAAAGGTTGTTTGAGTGGAAATGAGGAGACATGATAAAATAGAATATGATATAAAATGACCTGAAAGGAAAGAGAGGGAGAGAGAATGGGCTTTAATGTACAATCATGTACAAATCTTTGGCTTCTCACTTAGATTAGACAATAGGTATAAAAAGTAAAAAAGAAAATGGTGATCGAGAAAAAGATGTGGAAAAATCACTAGTGGATATTGGCCTGCCTGAGATCAGATATAGGTTTGACAATAGTGTTTATGCACCACTTCTTATATAGTAGAATTTTTAACCCGGTTGGTAAGTTTTTTTTTTCGAAAGTAAATATAACTTATGGGGTGAAATTGAAGTGGATCACATGTAAATTTTATGACCGTTTTCATTTTTTTTTTCCTTCTTTTCACGAGGGATCTGAATATCATTTCGAACGTTGGAGCGCACTACATTCAAAATTCTTGTCTATTCAACTTCAACCTTTTTCTACACGATTTGGAGTCGGTGGTTATGTGTTTCTTATGCTTTTGTTTTTGTCCATAAATTTCAACTCCCTTTTCATCATTCTTGATAATTTTGTACCTCTACTTATATGATTGATGTTAGTTTTAGCTGTTTGATGGTAAGCCACTTTGTTCTGTACACTGTTGACCAAATTGAGTAACGTGTGAGAAGTACATATGTTACTTTATATATCCCATGACTAAATAAAATTAAAGTTGTATTTATAAATAATATATAGTATACACACGCAATAATTAAATGTGAAATTCATACTATCTTGTCTATATGAGTAACTCAGTATAAATATTCATGAAACTTGAGAACTAAAAGGAGCCCTAGCTAACCAACTTCCCTAAGACTCGGGTACCACTCATTCCCCAAACGGTCTCCCACCTCCTAGTCCTAACTTCCACATATTTAAACCCCTCAAAGACATCAGTCACCACCTTTACATTCCCTTTAGAACTCACGTAAATTTTCCTTAAGCTGTGCCCCATTCGATTAATAAAAGACATCTCGTTTTATTTATTTTCGAGTGATTGCATTGCATTTAATTTTCTAAGCTCGACTAAGTTTTTTGAAATTATTTAGATGTCCTCGTCTGTTTAATCCTTAAGTAAATAATTTAGGTAGATGTCCACGTCTACTTAAATTATTTAAATTTTCGACAATTCGTTTACTATTCAAAATTCATTCAGTTCAAGTCTAAATTGGAGCCTTTTTGCTAGCCTAATTTTACCAAAAAAATCCCGATTAAATTTGGCCTTTTTAATCTTCATATTTTGGCCCACAAGAATACCAAAAACCCGGCCCTTTATGTTAGAAAACTTGGCCCCTTAAGCTCTCATTTTGGTTCCAAGTTCAAAATTCAAATCTTCTTTGGTCAGTTATGGTATGAATTGCACATCCGCATAAGCTCTCAATCAAATCCCAATCACCCGATTTCCTCCCCATGAAGCCGCCCAAAAATCCCCCAAGTAAGGTAAGGATATTAACAGATGATAATCAACCCACACTCATATGAATCAAAAGAAGAAAACAATTGTATTGATGAGCAGATTGAAAGAGGATCGAGAGAGAAAGATAGAGAGCGGCGTTCTGTTTACAGGGGAGAAAAAAATAAAATGAACGACTAAATATTTTAGGGTTTACACAAGTTTATTTATACAAGCTATCTGAACTAAAGGTGCTGAAAGTGAATAACACTTTTATACAAAGGAAAAATAACACTTATTGTAAATACATAACAAAATCTATTCTATTACAATATCTGTTATTGTAAATACACTTATTAGTGAGAAAATCTGCAAGCTGGTCTTTGGTGGAGACGTGCTTGAGATGAATCAGACCCTGGCCTATCTTTTCCCTTATTAAATGACAGTCCAGCTCTATGTGTTTAGTCCTCTCATGGAACACAGGGTTGGATGCCATTGCTAAAGCTGATTTGCTATCTGTGAACATGGAAACAGGTAAAGTAAGAAAAATTTTAAGTTCAAAACAAAGAGAAACCAACCATTGAATTTCACAGGTGGTTAGAGCTAAAGCCCTATACTCAGCTTCAGCTGAGGACCTACTTATGGTTGGTTGTTTATTTGATTTCCATGAAATTACGGAATCACCAAGAAAAATCATATATCCTGTAACACTTCTTCTAGTATCAATACAAGAAGCCCAGTCACTGGCATAATATGCAGTTAAATGTAAATGAGAGTTACTAGGAACGAGAATACCTTTGCCAATTGTACCTTTGACATACCTGATTACTCTGTTTGCTGCTTGAAGATGCAATTGAGATGGACTAGAAAGAAACTGACTTAAACATTGAACAAAGTATGCAATGTCAGGTCTGCTAATGGTTAAATATAGCAATCTCCTTACTAATCTTCTGTTCTTAGATGGATTATCAAGTAAAGGAGATGCATCATTTTTTCTAAGTTTAAGAGATGAATCCATAGGTGTAATGGCAGGTTTGCTGCCAAGTAAGCCAGTATCAGTAATGATGCCTAATGCATATTTCATTTGGCACATATGGATCCCTTTCTCTGAGTGAGCAAATTCTAAACCCAAAATATAGTTGAGTTGACCCAAGTCTTTAATAGTAAAACATGCATTTAAATGAGATTTTATGGAATTTATTTGAACAAGATCATTGCCAGTAAGAATAATATCAGCCACATACACTAGTAAAATGATGACAGAATGAGAAGTGTGCATATAGAATAATGGACAATCAGCAACAGATTGGCAAAAACCATATGTAATGAGACATGAAGTTAGTTTGTGGAACCACTGCCTAGAAGCTTGTTTTAAACCATATAAGCTTTTAATCAGTTTACACACTTTTGTTTCTGACTGAGAGCAATAACCTGGGGGAGGTGTCATGTATACCTATTCATTTAAGTCTCCATGAAAAAATGCATTATTAACATCTAATTGATGAACATGCCAATCATTGATAGATGCTAATGCAACGAGAAATCTAAAAGTGGTGATTTTTGCAATTGGAGAAAATGTGTCAAAATAGTCCATGCCCTCTTCTTGAGTATAACCTTTGGCTACTAATCTGGCTTTATACCTTTCTATAGTGCCATCATATTTATACTTTACTTTAAAAACCCATTTGCATCCTATGCAATGCTTGCCCTTTGGAAGATCAGTTAAAAACCATGTATTTGTTTGTTCGAAGGCTTTTAATTCTTTATTCATAGCCTCAACCCATGAAGGGTCTTTTGCTGCTTGTTTGTAAGACCTGGGTCATATATAGTTGATATGGAAGCAGTATAACAACTATGAGAGTTTGATAACATGTTAGTAGATAAAAAAATCAGATATTGAATATTAGGGGTGGGCGAGGTCCGGGACGGTCCGGGATTTGACCTATCCCGGTACATGTCCCGTTTTTATGAACCGGTCCGGAGCGAGACACCGTCCCAAACGGATCGGTATCAATTGAGACCGAGACAAAACGGTTCGGGACCGGGACAAAATGGATCAAAAAAAGTTCAACTTAAAATAAAATATATACTCTGATTCCATACTTGCAAAGGCACAAAGCAATCAAGCATTCACTTAAATTCTTAACTCTTGAACCAAATTGATTCTATTCCAANTTTTGTACAAAAAAATTAAAACGGGACAAACGGGACGATTCGGGACAAAAATATTCAAAACCTATACCGACATTGTTTCAGACGGTTCGGAACCGGGAACTGTTCGAAAATAAAAAAACCCGTTTGGAACCCTATTTTTCGGAACGGGACCATTTCGGTCTGGTTCGGTACCGGGAAATTCGGTTTTTTAGCCCACCCTTATTGAATATTTAGATGTTCCAGATATGTCTGAAAGTGTGTTTGTGGAACAAGTAGAAGCATGATGAATTAGGGAATGTTTATATATGTTTAAGTAGACAGGAACTTTATGTGTCCTGGATGACTTTCTTATGTTGGAGGGTGAATTTGTAACAAAAGTAGTAGGTTGATGATTTTGAAGGGGAGAGTTTGTAGGTTCTGACTGTAGTTGAGGGGAAGATGGTGATTGAAGTAATGGAGATAAATAGTTGTGTATATGAGATTGAGTAACAGATATATTATCAGTAGGAGAAATAGGAAGGACATATGTGGGTTGAGAGAATCATCAAAGAAAAAGTTGAATCTGGTTGAGGAAAAAGAGGGATAGAATTGTCAGATGGTGAATTGTGAGCAAAGGGGAACACACTTTCATAGAATATGACATCCTGGAAATCAATGTCTTCTTGGTATCTAGGTTGTAAAGTTTATAACCTTTACAACCCATTGGATACCCAAGAAAGATGCACTTAGAAGCCCTAGGATCAAATTTGTGTCTGTTAGCAACAATAGTTGAATCATAACATAAGCAACCAATAACTTTCATGTGACCATATGTAGGTTGTTTATGATAAAGCATTTCAAAAGGGGATTTGTTTTGATGAATGGGAGTTGGAGCTCTGTTTATGATATGAGCAGCAACTAATACATAATCAATCCAAAATGCAATGGAAGATTAGCATGAAATAAGAGTGCTCTAGCTACTTGAAGAAAATGTCGATGTTTTCTTTCTACTCTTGCATTTTGTTGAGGGGTTTCAACACATGATGTTTGATGCAATATGCCATGATCAGAATAAAACTGTTTCAAATAAATTCAGTGCCATTGTCAGTTCTAATGGTTTTGATTTTCTCGTCAAATTGAGTTAAAACCATATTATAGAAATGACTGATATGATGTTTTATGTCAGATTTAAGAATAATTGGATAAATCCAAGTGATTTTGTTATAATTATATACCATGGTAAGAAAATATTTGTGACCTGCATGAGATGCAATTGAGAAATGACCCCAAACATCACAGTGTATCAAGTCAAAAGGATGAGCAGAAGTTGAAGTACTGCCATTA